ATATTTTTAAACAGACTCGTTGAGATATAATTCACATACTATACAACTCACACATTTAAAGTATACAACTCAGTGGCTTCTAGTATGTTCACAGAATTGTGTAACTATCACCACAATAAATTTTAGAAGATTTTCATCACCCAAAAAGAAAACCTGAACCTCTTAGCCTTCACTCTTCAATCCCTCTCCCTGACTTTCTTTATTTACTTTCTGTCTCAGTAGATCTGCCTATTCTATATATTTCATGTAAATGGAATCATAACGATATGTGGGCCTTTGTGACTGGCTTCTTTCACTTAGCATAATGATTTTAAAGATTCATTCATGTTGTAGCAGGTATCAGCATTTCATTTCCTTTTATTGCTGAATAATATTCCATTGTATGCTGCATTTTATCCATTCATCAGTTAACAAACATTTGGGTTATTTCCACCTTTTGGCTATTAAGAATAATGCTGCTATGCCAGGCATGGTGGCTCATGCCTGTAATCCAGCAATTTGGGAGGTCGAGGCCGGCAGCTTCCTTGAGTCTAGGAGTTCGAGACCGGCCTGGGTGATGTGGTGAAACCCGGTATCTACTAAAAATACAAAAATTAACCCAGCATGATAGCATGCACCTGTAGTCCCAACTACTCCGCAGGCTGAAGCACGGAATCACTTGAACCCCGGAGGCAGAGGTTGCAGAGAGTAGAGATCGCACCGGTGCACTCCAGCCTGGGCAATAGAGCAAGACTCTGTCTCAAAAAAAAAAAAAAAAAGAATAATGCTGCTACGAACATTTGTGTACAAGTTTTTGTGTGAGCACCCATTTTTATTTCTCTTGGGTATATTCCTAGTAATAGAATTGCTGGATCCTATCATAATTCTGTTTAGCCTTTTGAGGAACTACCAGATTATTTTTGTAAGTGGCTGCACTGCTTTACATTCTTATCAGCAATGTATAAGGTTTCCAATTTTTCTACGTTTTCAACAACACTAATTGTCGTTCTTTTTGCCTGTTAACTATTCTAGTGGGTGTGAAGTGGTATTTCATGGTTTTGATTTGCATTTCCCTGATGGCTACTGATATTGAACATCTTTTAATGTGTTTATTGGTCATTTGTATATCTTCTTTAGAGACATGTCTATTCAGTTCCTTTTCTCATTTTTCAATTGGGTTATTTGTCTTATTATTATTGAAATATAAGAGTTTTAATATATTCTACATACCAGTCTTTCATCAGCAATATGATTTGCAAAAACTTCCTCTCATTCTGTGGGTTGTCCTTTAGCTTTCTTGGTGGCCTTCTTTGAAGCACAGTAGCTTTTAATTCTGATGATTCCCTGTTTGTCATATTTTTTTCCTTTGGTTGCTTTTTTTTTTGGTGTCATATCTAAGAAACCATACCTAATCCAAAGACACAAAGATTTACACCTGTCTTTTTCTAAGACTTTCATAGTTTTAGTTCTTATATCTAGGTCTTTGATCCATTTTTAGTTAATTTTTGTATATGGTGTGAGGTAGGAGTCCAACTTCATTCTTTTGCATGTATATACTCAGTTGTCTCAGCACCATTTGTTGAAAAATCAGCTTTGTCAACAATTGAATTGTCTTGGCCCTCTTGCCAAAAATTGACCATAAGTGTGAGGGTTTACTTCTGGATTCCCAATTCCATTCTTTTGAAGTTTAAAGTTTATATCTATCCTTATGCCAGTACCATATTTTCTAAATTGTTGTGGTTTTGTAGTAAGTTTTGAAATCAGAAAGTGTGAGTCCTCCAAATTTGTCTTTCTTTTTCTTTTCTTTCTTTTTTTTCTTTGTTGTTGTTGTTGTTATTTTTTTTTTTAGACAGAGTCTTGCTCTGTCACCCAGATTGGAATACCATGGCATGATCTTGGCTCACTGCAACCTCCACCTCCCAGGTTCAAGCAACTTCTGCCTCAGCCTCCTAAGTAGCTGGGATTACAGGTACCCACCACCACACTCGGCTAATTTTTGTGTTTTTAGTAGAGAGGGGTTTCACCATGTTGACCAGGCAGGTCTCAAACTCCTGACCTCAGGTGATCCACCCATCTCTGCCCGCCAAAGTGCTGGGATTATAGGCTCTTCCTCTGTCACCCAGGCTAGAGTGGCACAGTGATGGCTCACTGCAGTCTCAAACTTCCAGGCTCAAGTGATCCTCCCACTTGCACCACTTGAGTAGCTAAGACTACAGGCATGCACCACTATGCCCAGCCATTTAAAAAAAAATTTTTTTTTTGTAGAGATGGGATCTCTCCATGTCACCTAGGCTTGTCTCAAAACTCCTGGCCTTAAGTGATCCTCTTGCCTTGGCCTCCCAAAAGGTTAGGATTATAGGCATGAACCACCATGCCTGGCCAGTCTTTAATCATTAAGTACAATGTTAGCTGTGGGTTTGTGTAGATGCTTTTTATTCGTTTAAGGAAGCTTCATTCTATTCCCAGTTTGTTGAGAATTTTTATCTCGAAGAGCTGTTGAATTTTGTTAAATGCTTTTTCTGTGTCTAGTGAGATGATCATTTGGTTCTTTTCCTTTATTCTATTGTTATATTACATAAATTGAATCTTAGATGCCATTTATTTTTGCCTTTTAATTCAGCTTCCCATTTCCTCATTCTTTAGCATTCAGAGGACCCTAGTGGAACCCATTAAATCACATATGCAATAGATGCAATGCAGAGCTTGGATGTTGATGGTGATCCCTTGAGAAATATTCAATTTCTAGGACTTTGTGTCTCATCAAAAGTCCCAGTGATGGCTATTTAGGATTTTTTTTTTTTTGGTGTTGTTAAATGATATGAATATAAAACAAATTTTTAAATATAGCGTATCTTTTGATGTGATACAAAGTCCTGGAAATTGAATATTTCACAAAGGACCACCATCAACATCCAAGCTCTGCATTGCATCTATTGCATATGTGATTTCTTTTGATAGTATGTATCGGGGGTCCCCAGCCTTTTTGGCACCAGGGACTGGTTTCATGGAAGACAATTTTTCTATGGACTGGGAATGAGAGAATGATTTTGGAATGATTAAAGAGCATTACATTTATTAGGTACTTTATTTCTATTATTATTACATAGTAATAGATAATGAAAAAATTATACATCTCATCATAATGTCGAATCAGTGGGAGCCTTGAGCTTGTTTTCCTGCAGCTAGATGGTTCCATTTGGGAGTGACAGGAGACAGTGACAGATCGTCAGGCATTAGATTCTCATAAGGAGCACACAACCTAGATCCCTCACATGTACAGTTCACAATAGGGTTTGCGCTTCTATAAGAATCTAATGCTGCCACCGATCTGACTGGAGGTGGAACTCAGGTGATAATGCAAGTGATGGGGAGCAGCTGTAAATACAGATGAAGCTTCACTTGCTCACCTGCTGCTCACCTCCTACCGTGTGGCCCTTTATTTAGAATTTCATAATTATCAGATCACTGAGGAAATAAGGTTCCTGTACTATGGCCCAGGGTTGGGACCCCTGATATATATGATACAGTTTCATATTACAGGCACAATTTTTGGAGGTGGAAAATTTTAACTATATGATTTATATGCTTTTAGGGGATGACAAACCTTTTGTGCAGAATAAAATGTGTAGCTAGTATTTTTGGCAATTGTAATCATTAACAATATATTTTTGTCTTTGAAAATTTGTAGGCCCCCCAGTTTCTTCCTTCCACATAACACGATTTGTTTCATATTATGTATTTCCATCATGTCCCTATTATTATTATTATTTTTAGATGGAGTTTCACTCTTGTTGCCCAGGCTGGAGTGCAATGGTGCTATCCTGGCTCACCGCAACCTCCAGCTCCTGGGTTCAAGCGATTCTCCTGCCTCAGCCTCCCAGGTAGCTGGGATTACAGGCATGTGCCTAATTTTGTATTTTGTACTTTTGGTAGAGACGGGGTTTCTCCATGTTGGTCAGGCTGGTCTCAAACTCCTAACCTCAGGTGATCTGCCTGCCTCAGCCTCCCAAAGTGCTGGGATTACAGGTGTGAGCCACCATGCCCAACTCATGTCTCTATTTTATAATATATGTTCATATTAATTGCAGTTCCCATCTCTTGAAGACATTTTTCTTTCCCATGTGGGTTCCTTCACTTAGTTATGTTATCATTTTCATTGATTATATATCTGTTAATTAATGTTTCTTCTTTGAATGCTTGCCCTTTTGTTGTTGATTTTTGCAGTTCAGCTCTATTTTTTATTTTGGCTCTATTTATTGGTATTTCTTGCTAGCTTCTATTGGCCAATGACCTTTTGTGACTTATTCATAATATTTACATGTCTATGAAATTGACAGCCTAGGCCGGGTGCGGTGGCTCACGCCTGTAATCCCAGCACTTTGGGAGGCTGAGGCGGGTAGATTGCCTGAGCTCAGGAGTTTGAAACCAGCTGGGCAACATGGTGAAACCCTGTCTCTACTAAAATACAAAAAAATAGCCAGACGTGGCAGTGTACGCCTGTAGTCCCAGCTACTCAGGAGGCTGTGGCAGAAGAATTGCTTGAACCAGGGAGGTAGAGGTTGCAGTGAGCCAAGATCATGCCACTACACCCCAGTCTTTGGGCGACAGAGCAAGACACCGGTCTCCAAAAAAAAAAAAAAAAAATGACAGTTTATCCTCTGCCATCAGTGATAATTAATATATAAATGTTTATTTAAACTCATTTAGAAAATAGTTATTTCTTCTGGTTAATATATGTGATAGTTTTCTAAGTTCATAGCAAGGTCTTGGATTATTAGAACGTTTCATCTGCAGGTATATATAAAATTTTAATTATTATTTATTCTGGTAAAATATACATAATATAAGTTTTGCCATCTCAACTATTATAAAGTATACAGTTCTGTGGCATTAAGCACATTCACATTGTGCTACAACCATAACATTTTTAAAAAGAAAACAATACCCATTTCTTAATCCTTCTAATTTTCCTTTCTCCTTAGTACATCTTTTCTGTTTTATCAACTTTTCTTTTCTTTTAGATGCTGAAGAGTTCCTGGCAGAAGGCTTGCGAAATGAGAACCTCAGCGCTGTTGCAAGGGATCATAGAGACCATATTCTACGGGGCTTTCAGCAAATCAAAGCCAGGTTTGTATAAACTGGTTCCATTAATCTTCTTCATAAACTTTAAAACAATTTATAACCAGTAAAATAAAGTCACTAAGTAAGACATACCTATCATAGTTCTTTATACTTGTTAGAAACTTAATAAATATTTGCTGAATTGAATTGGAGGTAGGCAAGCATAATTAGTTTACCAAAATAAAAATGTTTTGATAATTATGTATGTATCTTGAGGTAATTATTCTGCTTTTAGCTTTAAATTTTTATGTTAGCCTTTATAGACCACTTTTGCATTTAACTAAAAAAATGATGAAAGCTAAACATTTATGCTTGTCCAAATTATTAACTAAAAGGTGTTAAGCAGTATGAGATAATGTTCATTATGATTTTTGGTACTATTTTACTTTCACATCTCCTTCCCTCATAAAAAACTTAAATGAGGCTCATTAAGGTGATTCTTTGACCATATTGGGATGTTTTATTCCTGGACTGGGTTGAAATATTATGTTCTTTTTTTTTTTTTTTTAAAATAAGAGGCCCTGGCCTAGTTTGTACATTTTAGAATATGAGCATCTGACAGATACAAACACTTGCTTAGGGGAAGAAGAAATAAAAATTTCCCTTTATGTTTCCTGACCACCTATTGCTTGAAATGGGTAACTGAATGAGAGCAAGGGATAAGTGAGTGTTCCTTTAATCTTTTCAAACCTGGTGGCAATGTGATTCAGAAAGTTTAAACTGAGTATTCTTAGAAAAGGAATAGCATTTGCAGGGTTATGGTTGGGATTTAATTTGTGTGGCTGACCGTTCTTAGTGTCTACTCTAAAAACGTCATTGAAACTCCATAGAAGCAGAGAATTTTATCCTTCAGAAGGGCACAGCCAGAATCTATTCTGTTCAGGAATGTGAGAGAACCTCATGAGATGCCCTGCTGGATCTTAATCGATCTTTCCTGCTGGCTAATTAAGCATCACTTTTACTCAGCAACTGGGGACTGTGTAATTATCAGCATGGGTTGCCCTGAATAATTGAAACAAACAATGCAGAAGATGGGGGTTTTTTGCAAAAGTTGGAATATCTATAATTTTTGGTAGGTTGAAAGGGTGTTTAAAACAAACTTCTCTGTAATGTTACTTTATTAGTAGATAAGTTTAGGCTTAGCTATGTACCTGGAGACTTAGTAACCTATAGAATTTTTTATTTTCACAAGTTTGCCTTTGTACCTTTGTATTTTATGATTACTGTAAGGGTGGCATGCAGAATAAAGGTGGAATTATTTTAAATTGGGGGAGGAATGTCCTAGTTATAATGATGTGTCTGGTGATTCTGTTGGCATAAATCTCTGGTAAGATATACAAAAACACTTTTACTGCAGCTGTAGTTACAAATGCACAATGAGGAGGAATTCTTTCCCACATTTGTACCACAGCACTGAGAAAGGACTACATTTCAATCTTAAGTTGGCAATATAAGGCAAATTTGTGGTAACTCATTACTGTCAGTTGCATATTATACTTCTTAATCCTCTTTTTAAATACATACACACACATGCACACACATGCATGAACACACACAAAAGCTGAATTTGTCATGGGGTGGAGTTGGTTTCTTGTTCTCAAATTCTTGTTCCCAAAGAACTTTCTGTATGGTTTGTGGGGTAGACATTCAGGAAATAATCAGCGGGAGCTTTAGGAAATATCTGCACTGTTGATGGGAGCTTTCTGCTCATTGACTTGTTGCAAGAAAGATGACACTTTATTTAGAATTTCATAATTATCAGATGACTGAGGAAATGAGGAGCCAGAAATTAGATACTGTACAAGAAAATGGAAATATGAGGCTTTCCTTTGGCAAGCTGTTTGAAATTGCCTTACATCTACCCATTCAATCATCATTCTGTTAATGTAACCCTTGTTTTCCTGAATCCTCTTCTTCAGCCATATCACCTCTATTGTGCCATATATGGCTGCCACATTTACTTATGCCACATTTGCTTATGTTGTGTGGCAGTTATATGTTCCCCAGAAAGCTTGGCATGAAAACAGATTTAGAAGTCATCAAACTTAAGAGTTAAAAGTATATGGCAGCCTAAGCACAGTGGCTTACTCCTGTAATCCCAGCACTTTGGGAGGCTGAGGCTGGAGGATCTCTTGAGGCCAGGAGTTTGAGACCAGCCTGGGCAACATAACAAAACTGTCTCTACAAAAAATAAAAAATTAGCCAAGTGTGGTGCTGTATGCCTGTGGTCCCAGCTACTTGGGAGGCTGAGGTGGGAGGATCACTTGAGTCCAGCAGGTTGAGGCTGCAGTGGGCCATGATCATGCCACTGCACTTCAGCCTGAGCAACAGAGTGAGACCCTATCTCCAAAAAAAAAAAGTAAAAAAAAATGACAAATACATGAATCATACAGTAACATGAAAATAATTAAAATTAATGAAGATCATTTAAAAGGTTTTAGTTTAGTCTTTTTTTTTTTTGGAGACAGAGTCACTCTTCACTCTGTGGCCCATGCTAGAGTGCAGTGGTGCAATCACAGCTCGCTGTAGCCTCGACTTCTTGGACTCAAGTGATCCCCCAACCTCAGCCTCCCAAGTAGCTGTACACCACTATGCCTGGCTAATTTTTTACTTTTTGCAGAGACAGTGTGTCACTATGTTGCCCAGTCTGGTCCAGAACTCTTGGTGCCACCAGTTCTCCTGTTTTGGCCTTTTAAAATGCTGAGATTATAGGCCTGAGTCTCTGTGCCTGGCCTATTTTTAGTCAGATTAAAAGAATAATATTTTAGGAGTTTGGTAAATTTGCGGGGGGGAACCTATCTAAAACTATAATTTAGCACTTCAAGACTTATTTGGAAGGTAGGTAAATCTCTAGCAAGATAATCTGGAAAAGCCACAATTAGATAAATATAAATTATGTATTCATACATACATATATATTTTTTACAACATCCCACTCTTGTTGTTTTCTTGCTTCCTTTAACTCTTTCTTCAACGTGTATTATTCTAGAAATAAAAGGGTGGAGAGAAATAAAAATACCACTGCCTCTGATTCTTGGTAAACTCTAGGGGCTTAGCTCTGATTTTTATGGCTGGCTTGGAATTCACTGTTATTTGCCATGGTTGTGGACTTGCTGTAAATGGAAGCATCTGACTCTATCACAGCTGTTAGAATGTGCTTTTTGCTGCCTTTTGTTGACTACAGTGAATGACCGTAGGAAGAGACAATTGTGTCAAGAATTGTGGGTGTTCTCCAAGTGATCGTCGGTTTTTCAGTACAAATCACTTTAGCTATTCTGTTTTTAGACTTAGAAACAAAAAATAGCTATTCTTTTTTTAAACTTAGAAACAAAAGATAAAATCATATCTCTATCTACATACTTTTTTTTTTTTGCTTGAAAATGTTACCAATGAAGGCTAATATTTTCCAAGTAACACAAAATAAAAATGGATGGCAGTTTCTGTGATTCCAAGGAAATGAAGTCCTGTTGTGGTATTTAATGTCCTAAGCTGTGATTTTCATTGCTGCTCTTCAAACTGCCTCTTCATTTAAACCTTCTCCTTAAAAACTCAACAGCTTTCACATTCCAAGTCCAAGTTTTCACTGAGCCCTTTGGAGAACAGTTAGGATGAAAGCCAGGCAAAGGCACCTCCTGCTTTATTATGGTGGTCACTGCAGGATTAGCACCAGATGTGAAACACTTGGAATGAAGCAGACATGATCTACACTCAGAAACGTGATGGCATTCTAATGCATTGGGAGAAACAGTAGAGCATTTTTTAAATGTTTGATTCAGTGGAGGCCATCTGACAGCAAGAATACATTGAGAGTGGGGAAAATGATAAAGAAAAAAATATTTATATATTTTTTGAGACTAAGTCTCACTCTGCTGCTCAGGCTAGAGTGCAGTGGTGCATCTTGGCTTACTGCAACCTCCAACTCCCGGGTTCCAGTGATTCTCGTGCCTCAGCCTTCTAAGTAGCTGGGACTATAGCTATGCACCGCCACACCTGGCCAACCTTTTTTTTGTATTTTTAGTAGAGACAGGATTTCACCATGTTGGCCAGGCTAGTCTCAAACTCCTGACCTCAGGTGATCTGCCTGCCTCGGCCTCCCAAAGTACTGGGATTACAGGCATGAGCCACCACACCCAGCCAAAAATGGAATATTTTTATTATTGAGGTATGGCTTAATTTCTCTCTTGATGGTCCTTTTTGGGATAACTAGTCATTTATGCTCCCTGTTGGAAGTGAAGGACAGAGCCAATGGAAACAAACTTGGAACATTGTTTCCTTCCGTAAAACTTAATAATGCTGAAGGAGTTCCAAAGAGACCTAGAGATTTATATCATATTGAGACGGAAAGAAAGAAAGAAATACCTTTGTGAGGCTAGGCGCAGTGGCTCACGCCTATAATTCCAGCACTTTCAGAGGCTGAGGCAGGTGGATCACGAGGTCAAGAGATCGAGACCATCCTGGTCAACATGGTGAAACTCCAGCTCTACTAAAAATACAAAAATTAGCTGGGCATGGTGGCACACGCCTGTAGTCCCAGCTACTCGGGAGGCTGAGGCAGGAGAATTGCTTGAACCCAGGAGGCAGAGGTTGTGGTGAGCCGATATCGCGCCATCGCACTCCAGTCTGGGTAACAAGAACCAAATTCTGTCTCAAAAAAAAAAAAAAAGAAATACCTCTGTGTAGCAGGGTTATGGCACAAACCCCAGGACAAACCCCTGTTCTTCCCTAGAACAGGCTGAAGGAATGTCTTGAACATGTCTCATTGTGGGTGGCTAACTTATATCTATCTCTGTGTGAAATATCATAAAAATAATTCTGACTTTCTTTGGGAATTTCACGTTTTCTTTTCAGTTTAACACGGATTTAGCTATAAAACAAGGTTTAGCTTAAGAATGTATAATTCTGATATTTTTGTATTATAGGAAGAACAAGGGGTTAGCCTGATAAAACTCTTAGGAGCAAGAGTTTTGAAGTAGTATACTGTAAATACAATTACCATTAATTATATA